GATGAGGCACCATGTGTGGGGACGTGCAGGGAGACATCTGAAGAGGCCTGTGGGAGGTAAAACCCACAAGGACACACGCTCCTGGACAGAGGTGTCTCACATGCTGGTGGGGTTCACCTCTGGGGGATCTGTCACAAGTGGAGGACTCGTGCTGGAGCAGCGATGGCAGCACACAACCTCCAGCTCCTGTGGTGCTGACATGGCCCTGAAGGAATGGGCTTGTGCTGAGGGCAACCAACAGCATTTTTGCTGTAGGAAATAAAGGCTAAGCAGGAGGGGAGGAGAGGGGTGTAGCTTGATTTGAACCCAGGAATGGGGGAGGAAAAGTCTTTACTGAAGTGTTTAATTGCTTATTATCTCTTTTTATCTCAATACCCAAATCAGTGATTAGAAGTCTGTGTTAATTGGCAGTTAGCTACCTTATTAAGTAAAAATTCAGCAAGTTGAGGCTGTTGTGCTGAGGACATATTGCTGATCACATTCCTTGTGCTGAGCCTGAACATCATATCCCTTCCCACTGCCTCATCCTCCCCAGAACCAAGAGGAAGAAGTGCCTCTTAGCTGTCCTGGAGGGAACAAGCTGGCATCTCTGCCCAGAGAGTTGGGGAGCTTGGTGCCACAGCAACATTCCTGCCCTGACTGACTGTAGGACTAAGAGATGGGCAGGAGGGGAGGAAGGAAACCACCCCTTTCTTTCCTGAAGCCTGAAAAACAATTGCCAGCAAATGAGATGTATCTCTGATGCCACATTCCCACCCTCTGATACTGTGGAGTCATCTCAGGTAGTTCTCCACTGAAAACTGGTTCTTTTCAGGAGCATCAAAACTACTTTCAAGATCCTTATGCTAGCATGGATGCCCACAAACAGCCCTCCCAGCTCCCCAGAGCACCAAGGGGCTGAGGAGCACAGTTCACCTGGGGTCAATGCATCTGCTCAGCCCTGGGAAGAGGTAGAAGTGCCTTTCCCTGCCTGTGTGCCCAGCACCTGACTTCGCCTGTCAGAGCTCAGCACTGCCCCCACCTCTTGCCGTTGCTTTTTTCACATTTCATTTATCCCTGCTCGAAGCAGCTGGGGAGGAGTCTGGCGTGTGTGTGGCATCTCTTGCAGCGTGGGGCTGGGCCAGGTGGCAGCAGGCCTGGCTAGCAGGTGACACGCTTTCACGTCCAGAGCTAACAAACCCTTTGCCTCAACTGATCCAAACAAATAAGGTGCTCACTCTCCTCTCCTGCTTGACTGCGTATTCCCTGCATCTCACTTCGCTTGATGACTGGTGTATTTAAGTCATTTCCCTCACCAGCATAAGTAGGATCAGTTTCAGGTCACCACTAAATTCCTGCATATAATCTCATGGGGAAGAAAAGATTACACAAGTCTATAAAACTATAAAACAAAATATGTGTACTAGAATCGAGTATAATTTCTCGCTAGTGGGGTAAAAGAGGGCTAATATTTCCTTACTAGAAAGATTAGACTGAGCCACAGAGAAAAGTCACTTTTTTGAAGGTTATTTGGTTGTGAATCTCTATCCACAAGCCTACACTGCTTTTAAAGAAAGTTTAGAAATTTTCACTCTACTACCCAGTCACAAAATCACAGCTTTAAGACAGAACTGATTGTAATCCTTAGCGAGCCATGGATTTCAAGGTTCATCTATCAGAAAACCGTCCACAGAATAAAATTCTTAAAATACCAGTTTGCATGTCTTTTGCACCAAACACACTTGTATTCAGTGACTAGGAAAATCCCCTCCCCTCCAGTGGCCTCATTTCCAGTTTTACAAGGCACTATATCAAACAAAATAGCCTTTTATGTGCATATACTGACTTTAATAAATAAGTAAATACATATATACACAGATACATTAACCTACACCAGTGGGACACAGCATTAGAGTTTTGGAACTTCACTCCAAGCTTAAGGCACTTTCAAAACACAAATGTCTTTAGAAGAACTATGTAACCTCACAGATGATGGGCAGAAACCTTGCCCCCTCTAACTTCAAGCACAAAGTTTACTGGTACGTATGTGATGAGACATTTGAAGTGGAAACTAGCCCTGGGCTTCCAGAGGTGTAGCACAGAGCAGTGACAATTCCAGCTCAACTACCTTCTTCCACTATTCCTAAGCAAGGCAGCATGATGAGAGCATCATTTGCCAAAGGGGACTCCTGGCTGGGAAATTGCAAATTCCCATTTGCAAGACTGAAACTCCAAGGTCGCTAGAAAAATGTTCCTCCTCGTTGCTCACAAGAACCAAAATTGCTTTTAACTTCCCATACATCTGGAAACCAAACAGCTCAGCTAATAAAACACTTCATTGCCTACACAGTAAGCAAGCAAAACCTGCACAGCAGTAACGACACTGCACTGACAGAAAGCTCGCAGCTCTCCTATCACAGCTGACAGGGAAGTTTTCAGACGCCTGCTTTTGTGAGATTTCAAAACAGAGCTTCTTTTTTTAAATACAAGCAGCCAACCAAATATTTGCATGTTACTCCCTCTCCTTGCTAGGCTGGGTGCAGCCTTACTGAACACCTGAGCAGTAGTTGGTGTCGAGTAACCGACTTCTACCCCCCAAAAAACTGAACAGTTCTCAGGGTGTTTTCCAGCAGCAGCTTGAGAAGCAAAAACATTACCTAGGGAACTTCCTTCAATAAGTCTAAGTAGCAGAGCAGCAGAGCTGTGTCTCTTCCAATAAGAAGTTAATGCACAGCCCCAGGTGCTCAGTAAATCATCAAGAACAGCAGTTGCTTTCACACACCTACTGGACGTGCCAAGCGTGGAAGATAAGCTGGACAAAGCTATCAGCTTCACGCCATGGGTGAAGGAACAGAGACTAGGGACAAAAATTACATTCCCGTAGTCAAGTGCATTTGAGAACTAGCAAAAGACTGAAAAATATAAGGGCTTAATAGATTTATTAGTAACTGCCGGCATGTAATGTGGAATATGCTACAATCTTCACATACAAGGAATTCATGGTAATTACTGGTCGAGCACTGCAAAGCATGGGTTAAACAGAAAGAAGCTGAAGCAGCATGCACAACCTCCTCACACTTATTAAACTGCTCTGAAAGTGTAAATCCATCTCACACTTGTCCAGTCAACCCATTTTCAGTCCTATTTTAAATGCTACAGGGACCAAGCTTAAGATTTAGAAGAGGGCTGGAAACTGGCAGCTGTTTGCAAGTGGCAACAGCAACTCCAGGTGACAGTTCCCTCCCTGCTCAG